TACTGTACCACATTCCAGCATGACAGCGTTAGCTTTAGTTATGCAGCTGTAAAGATTGGAATAACTCTTACAGGACCTGCTTAGGATCAAGAAGCTGGCAAAAAACTTTCCAGTCCCATCCCTTTCCTGCCATCCTTGCCACACACAGTAGGTGAAGATAGGACTGCCCATATATGAAATATCATCACCATGACTCTGTGTGCTGCTTGTTGCAGCTGCCTTGAAGGGTCAGGATTTGAAACAGGTTCTAGTATTTGGCCTAGTTAGGAGGGTAATGTTGCCTGTTCCTGTACCAGCTGAACAAAAAGGGGGTTTCATAGAGCATCCAAAGGGTCTATCTGTACCTACTAAGTCCCAAGAAGCAGAGCCTTCTGCTCTTATTTGAACAAGGACTGAACTTGAAATGCCCATACCTATCATTTCAGAGGCACAGGGCAGATAGAGCATTCAGTGAATCGGTCAAAGACAGAAAAAAAAAAAAACCTTTTATAATCTGAAATATGGTTTTGACTCTTGAGTAGTTTAAAAGTTAGAGTTACTTCCTGATTTTCATATCAAAGCAAAATGCAAAAAAGGTGATACCACATCATCTGTCTGCTTCATTTTGAATTATTTATTTTGATTTGGAAGTATGATCAAAGAATTCCTCTTTGCTTGATAAGTAAACAGTGATACTTAAATCCATTTATTATTATATGCATTCCTAAAGGACTCATCACTGCAAGCACCTAGACTATGCTAACCTGGGATCACAGACACCATCTTCTATTGCATTTTTAGAGCTATATTTAAACCACACTTTAAATATTCTAAACTACACTATGTACTGGTTATTAGCCCTGCCCTTTTCTAAAGCAATGCCATATATATACATATACTTCTGTGTAGCCATCCAGAAAATTCTGGGCTTCCACAGTGAGGGAAGGGAATCTTTGCCACTGCACTGAGTTTGTGTGGCTAAGCTTTGGTAGTGGGAGGGCTACAGGGGTGGCTTCTGCGAGAAGCTGCTAGAAACTTCCCTTATGTTTGACAGAGCTCAACCCATGAACCTTAGGTTATATTCTCTCCCCTGCCCAGCTGAGGAGGGGAGTGACAGAGTGGCTTTGGGGGGCACTTGGCATCCAGCCCACCAGGGTCCAGAATGCACCATCATCCAGGATCAACCGACCACAGACCCAGAGGAAAGAGCAGCTCCCAGTGCTCTTAACACAGCTGTTCTGTAACCACATCTCAAAGCAGCTACAAAAAAGGCTTGCAGTGTCACAGTAATGATTTTCTAGCATATGAAGTTGCTTTATGGGCATCACCAGACTTTTCCTGTGTGGTTTGCGAAACTGTGTGGGAGACATATTATGTAAGGGTCCCCTATGGCCACCTCTAAGCTGCAAATACTCATCAGGACAAGCAAAGATGACCCAACAAGAAGTGGGATAACAACAACCTTTTCACATAATCTGTGGCATTTTCTTCCTATCTGCAGAGTGAACAGGATAGGATGGTGGCATTTACAATTACCAATAAACAAGTATTTTCTAAATAGCAAAGAGTTGTGAACTTGGAAAACAAGATCACATAGTAGCCTAACCATGTTAGAATGCAAACTTTTGCAATTCAACCCATCAGTATCCACTTACCTGAGGTTGCAGCCACCTGTACCAATCCTGTACAATGCTTTATCATTACATATTTCCCAATGGCAAATTTACAAATGCCATTTCCAAGTCATACTGTATTATTAACATTATCAGGGAAGATCACTCTCTCACAATGTGGGCATTGTCATGCTCAGATCAAGTCCCACCGTCACCCCTTTCCATTTGGCTGAGGTAATTTTTGTCTGCAGGAAACGACGTTCTTCTGGAAACATCCCAAAAGACCTTAAAAATTAATATAACTCTCATAGCTCTACCAGCAGTCACATTTCTCAAGCTGAAAAAAACAGCTGTAGAGAGACCACTGCATCAAAAATTTTGAAAGATAAGAACTGGATGAATCTGGGTTTTGCCTTTGATGGATTCCTCACATGAGCTGAGCTAATAACTATTTTTTCTGTAAGTTCTATGGTGGTGACTTCTGACCAGTAATTGTTTTGGATCTCATGCTATGTCTGACCCATAGAATCCATATGGCTCTGTAGCAAACTTAACTTGACATTTTATTTCAATATATAAGAACTGTTATGTCTGGAGAGCTCCAAATCATTCGTTACCTCACTCAAAATGGCAGCACATCAAAGTCATGCTTGTTGTGTTCTTTATTAGCAGATTTAAATAAGAGAATAATTGTAGTTTTATCAGTTTACTATAATATTTCCTACCCATTCTGCACTAATACCCATGGAAGTACAGCAGATAGAAAAGAACACAAGAACTTAAAACTGTCTTCTCTGTTTAGTTTCTCTTTCTACTCTTCCATACACAAGAAAAGGACAGCAGAAATTATTTACTGCTTGATGAACATGTCTCAGAAAATCTCCAGAGTACAGTGGCTAAACAACAGCTCCGCAAGTGGTGGAGTTAAATTCTCTTCCTTAATTTCATTTATCTTATGCACTTCTAATGCAATTTTTTCAGACTTACACCACACTTACACACTTTAAAATCCTCTGCCTTGAAGGCAGAGTCCCTGGCCAGCCAGCAGGCCAAGCAAAACTGCAGCATTGTTCAGGATGGACCATAAGTTAGGGCTTCTCTTTTACTCATGTGCCAATTTTCATCAAACTTATAGGACCTTCATTAAAATCTCCTAATGTCTTTTTTTTTCTTTTCTTTTGACACTAGGCAATACAGTCAAAGTTGTGAAGACAGAGCCATAGAAAACAAAGACAAGGATAGATGATGTGATTGTAAGTCTCATTTCCTCTGGAAATCAGAATAAAAAAACCAAGACTACAAATACACACACGAACTGAAACTCTCAGTATTAAATATCTTTTAAGGAAAATGAAAATATTCCTGAACAGTTAATACACTGTAATAATCCATTTCTCAGAGAATGAAAGCTGTATTAAAATATTCAGAAAAAAATTGCATCAGTTAATTTGCTCCAAGGCAAAAAACCCAAAATCCCACCAAGTCCCAGAAGAAACATGACGATTGCTCTTGTTGCAATAAGCATTGTGTTAAGCAGCTAAACATATCTTAAAGAATAGATGAACAATAGCCTCTGTAAGAGAAAGTGCATTTGAACAAAATTATGGTTTGTTTCAAGTCCACAGCCTGGTAAAACCTCCAGTCTTCAAGCCATTCTCCACCTCTGTGACCAACTTTCCCTACATATACAGAGAATTTGCTGTTCCAGGGTCAAGTTTTTCTCCTCCCAAACATCCCATCTGTAATCTCCTGTACAGCAGTAACAGGCTCTGAGGAGCCTCCTCTCCACAGAGAATCCCACTGTTCTCCTAATGGGAAGAAAGTGTTTAACTAAACTGCCACTGTGATTAATTTTTAGTGTAGAAACACTTGCAGTGGTAAAATCCAACAGACACAGATGGTAATCTGTCTAATTAGTAGAGAGCAATTAATAGTATAAAACAATACACTGTCAAAGCACGGCAATTAAAAAATCAAGAGAAGGTTCCCCTTCTGATTGGTTATATTAATCAAAAACTGAATGTAGATTTTAGATACATTGTACAAAAAAGAAAAAAATTAATTCAATTCAGAACTCACAGTTAGGCAAAGGAAACAAGAGACAGCTCCAGACAGATGATGGAGTTTGTAAAAAGATGATGAAATTTTTGTTATTTGGACCTCAACCTTTGGCATAGGAGAGGGACAGCATTAAAGAACCACGTTATCACAGACACACTCAAGATGTTAAATCCTTTAAAGTTTTAACTGATATCTTAAGCAGTTGACTGAGTTCTCACCATGTATACCTGGAGCAGTAAGCTATTTTAACCAAAGATATTTTTTCAGAGAGTAAGATACTTATGAAATATTTTAAATCTTTTTCCATTCAACAGTCCACCTTATATTTAGATCAATGGTAGCTTGTTACTGTTTAATAGTAGCATGGCTTGTTCACCTGAAGATGCTCCTTGGATTTGTTATTTCTCTCAAACCTAAAATGTGGTTTGGTAGGTAAATCAAGGCAAAATTTGGGACCCATTGTCATTGCTAAGGACCCAAAGATAGTTTTGATGCAGGATGACAAATAATCACCGATACTTTTTTTGAGTTGGTTTGTGAGGTTTTTTGTGTGTGTGTGCATGTCAAAAAATGTGTCATTCACCTCATGGCACCTGAGTCAAGATCAGCTCTGGTGAAGAGGATATTAAATGGCTATCAAGGCAGAAGCAAATCTTTCAGCAGCAGTCTATTGAACTGACAGTTGGGTAACCCACATTAGGTGCCCTCTCCTGGACACTACGTAACAGTATTTCAGATTGTCAGCGAGTTCATGAAATTCTCCTGTTTCATTCAGTAGCACAACACTGACAGAGCAGAGACTCAAGCAATTCCACTGCTATTAGTGTTGCTGATCTTCCTCAGTTTACTAATCTGGAGGGGGAAGAGAGGAGGAGTAAGAAAAAAGAAGTGATGTTGAAGCACTAATGAGCTGTGAAAGTCAGAAAATACCCAAGCCACAAGGTTTCATATTTCTGTAGGTGTGTTTCCCTATTCAAGCAATATTATCCTCTTCAGAAAAGAAAAAATTCTTACAAAGGTGTCTTGAGCTTTAGCTAAATATATACATCTCAGACTTAACCCTCCACCCAATCCATCAATTACTATTGTCATATGAACAACATCCATACTTTAAAAGAGTAAATTTGACAGTTTTTTTTAAAATAGACTTTAGTATTCAGGGGCACCAGATGTTTCACAGATATGAAAAGCACTTTGATAATATCAAAACGAATTCTGTACAAGAAAGCACAGTATATACTTCAGAAAAGACAAGTCACGGATCACTATCATGCAACCAAATTCTCTCACACAAACACAAAAAAAGGAGAAAGTAAAGAATGTATAGAACAAAAAGTTTTCATTGACCTGATTTGTCAGAGATGTTGGCTGTGACTGGCGTGGTGGAGCAGCTTGGGCTAGCCTTTGCGCTGTCCTTGGAAGAACCAACTTTGGGTTTATTTTTCGTTGCCTCTAGTGCTTTGACCTTCTTGGCATGTTTACTTCCTTTGTAGTGGGCCTCGGCCTGGCTCTACAAAGGAGAACAAATCAGGCTCACTTTTTTCTGTACTTGTATATAATACAATGGATGACAAGGCAGAAAAGTGACACTTTCAATAGTAGGCACCATTATATTCCACCTAAAAATTTTAATAGATTTATCCTAACAGTTTTCCTGGATGTAAGTTCTTATATATTCAAATAATAGGATTTTAATGAAAGTTGCATGTTTTCAGCAACTTGGTAAAAGAGGCTTTGAGATTACATAAAGCTCTGTCACCCCTAATGTAATTCTTGTCTTCCTTGGTGCTTAAAGATTTAAAGCACTATACAAATGTAAACACATCCAATTCAGAAAGATGCTACTCGATTTTCATGAAAATAAAGTTCCTTAGACTTTATTGCTTGTAGTTAGAAAGATGTACCATGCTGTGACAAGATTAAATAAACCATTTTACTTTCTGTTTGATCTAGTACAAATGTCATAAAATATTTTCATCTTTACACTAACAGCAATTGAAACTTGAAAAATTATGACTTCAAGAAAGAAGGGTTAAAATGAAAAAACATCAAGTACAACACAAAAACTAAATATTTATCAGTCTTGATTGCTTTATAAATTGCCGTAAATATTTTTTATTAAAGACTAAGAAAATTGGAACCTTAAGGATAGGAAGGAGAGGAGCTTGTTTTAATTATTATTATTTATTTTTGTTGAAGTGCTTTACATATAATGTACTCTTCTTAATCTGGTCAAACAGAGCAGTAGAAATATGTACTGAGATGCAACGTTTACTTCACTGTTGTCTTAAAACTATCTTCAGAAACTTGGTCAGTGTTTTTGAAGTTGCTAGGCTAAAGCTAGACACATAAATAAATGCCCATTTTTTCTGTGGTTTTGAGTTCCCTTTGTCGTTCCTGACTCTATATAATCAGTGACCTTGACAAATCAGACTACTTTGTTTGGAGCAAAACTAAGGAACTACATGCTTAATATGAACTCTAGAGCTCAGAAATTTCAGCTAATGAATTTAAATGTTTTTCTTGACTTTTTAATACATGAATTTACCAAATAGTGAGTAAGAAACAAACCTATCCAAAACAGTCTATTTTCATAACACTGTACTATTCAGCAACAGTTTTGCATTATTAATATTTCCAAACACAGTTTAAAAAAAAATTATTTCAGATATACCACTAGGTGCCTCTATTGAAGGTTATATATTAACTAAAGAAGTTAATATTGTCATTTACTTAAAATTAAAACTCAGAGAAAGCATGCTTCATGTAACCACATCTTGGCACCTGGCATATAAAAACATCAGTGCAAATAAACTTTTACTACATTCATGCAAAAACACATTGATTCTCTCTCTTTAATTGATTAGGACTATTTTATTTAGTTCACTGTGTTAAATGAAGCGAGCCATGAAACAAGTCACATGCTTTTTATAAAGAGCAACTAGAATAACTAAGATGCTTGAATTCCATAAAGAGTGCTGTCATAATGAGGAAAATTGCTTTAAGATCAGCAGAAGTAGGCATTACAATACAGTCACCTTGGGACAGCATGTAATAACAGCTTTATCATATGGTAGAGTGGAAGTGAAGAGTAGAAACAGCTGGACCGGACAAGAGAATAGAGAGCATGTTGGAGTCCTCACACAAGTTATAAAACTGATGGAGAACTGTTGCTAAAATAGAGGAGTGAAGTTCTTATACAACAAAGCTTCTCATTGCAATTACACACCCCAGGAAACACTGTGCTTTCCTCCTCAAAAGGATAGTGTATGTGACGCTGCGGCTGCATCTTTACTTTTATTTCAGTTAGCAAGCATTCAGTAAGAAAGGCTGCCAGATTAGTTTTACATTGAATTCCTTTGAAATTGAGATATTTTTAAAAACCTTTTATTACAAAACCAGTAGAGTTTACTCATCAATTACTATTAAACTTTTTCCTGATTTTAAAACCTTTGAAATATTAACACGCATACAAAACACAATTTAAGGATTATAAAGAAACAACTAATGAGCTATACCACTAGTACTACGTGCACTACTTAAAGGGACACTTGTCAACTTCTGAGTTGGACCTCTTCAGCTCTGAATGTGGGCAGAGGAGCACAGTTCTGTTTGTGCCCTGTTATGTCAATGGGCCTTATGCAGGCACAGTAGTCTCGCCCTGTCTCTCTCCACCTTTGCTGGGTTTTGTCCATTTCTCTTAGGCTTTGCTGTTGCTAAATGATGCACTGGAAGGAATGCTTTCCATCACCAAAATTAAATAAACTATTCAAACATTACAGCGTACAAAAAGTGAAGCTAAAAATTGAGGTGTATATATACCCTTTCCATTCCAATACTTTTAAATTTAAGTAATACCAAGTATAAGATTTTTCACTCAAGCATCCTCAAGTTGATGATGTCCCTTTAAATATTTGAACTCTATGCACTGCGCATATGTTTGCTGTCGATAGGATCATATGCTGCCTGAGGCCAAAGCTATAACGTAAGAGACATAAATGCACTCAAGAGAAAGACTTAGTAAGTCAATTCCTTGATAATAAGCCTTTCTGCTGATATTTGCAATAATAACGCCTGCAATATCAGTAATAACCTACTACAGTCTTTGATTCCCTTCATTCAATCCTTCATACAGTGTATATGAGACCTGTTGAGAACAAACAAGTCCAGGCACAATTAAAATTCAGATTTCCATAAACACAAGCAAAGCTTCATGGAAACATGGTCAATGGACTCACTTTTTATTTAAGTTTTGTAATTATTATAATCTCTTAAATTCATAGTTGTACATTATAAGGCCAAAAAGTATTGCTATGACCATCTAACTAGGGTTTTTGAAAATGCCAGCCCTTTCCAATACTGTTCAAACTAGCCCATATGCCTTCGAAGGGAAAAAAAGCAATTGTCCAGTTTTGATTTGAAAGTAGCTATGGATGCAAAATCTACCTTTGGAAAATGATTTTGCTGCTTCATTTTGTCAGTTAAGTACATAATATTTTTTTTTGCAATTTGTAGAAATTGAAACTATTTGTATAGTTTCAATTCTAGGGGCTGGATTTTGTTAAATCTTGGAATTTTAGGTGCTTTCAACTCATCTCTGTTCTGTGAGTAGAAATGCAGATACTCTTTTTAAGCATGAAGCTGGAGGACTGTCCCTCGAGGTGTTGAAGCAATGTTTTCTACCCACATAAGCTCTATTTTCTAGTCCTTTCAGATACACCTGAAGTTCAGAGTTTGCTTTTTATCCATGGTGGGATAAATAATTTGATTCGGCTGCCTTTTGGTAACTGAAATGCAGTGTCCCTGCATTACATAAGCCTTTGCAGTTTTGTGGAGTCACAGGAAGCAAAATAAAACAGGGCAGCCAAGGAAATCTGAAATTAGAATGTAAGTTCTGGTTATTACTGGTACCAACTGTTCTGATTATTAATTTCCTGATCATTACTAACCCTAATTTCATAAAATATTTGCACAAGTACCACATTAAAGGCAAACATATTTGACCCTGATATTAGCTCAGTTGGTTAGAGACTAGTACTAATAACACCAAGGTTCAAACCATCCACCTAAGAGTCAGACTTTGATGATCTTTGGGGGTCCCTTCCAACTCAGAATATTTTATGATACTTGTTCCAAGTCCTCCTTAAAACTTACTGGTGACACAAATACAGCAATAGAGCACAGTTTATGAACTTCGTAGAATACATCATTGAAATACTAAACATATCTTTGAAATAAGCTATGACATATAAAATTTTCACTTTTAGTTAAGGCAAGAAGCTGAACATTTATTTTCATTTGCCCTGATAGTCCAGGGGAAGTTCTGTACACATAGGGTTCAAAAGTCATGTGCATAAAAAATAATTTACCAGTTTTAATATAAAACCCCAATAAAATCTAAAATGAAATTAAATCTCTTAGGGATGCAATATTTTAAATGGACACTGAATGTACTTTTTGATCATCATTAAGTACAACTAATGCATGCAAATTCTGTATCAGCAAAACAATATTTGAGAAAATTAAAAGGTTAGGAAAAGCCAAAATGAAGAAATCTCTCTGTACTCATGTACTATGATTTTAATGGTGCAATACTTTATTCCAGTGTATATGGCTGCATTTACTGTAGGGTTTAATACACCCTACAGTAAAATAATTTAACTCTCCCACAAATCAATATTATTTAAATATTTATTTTTTTATTTCAAAAATATTAAGTTAAATTTGTTGCTTATATAGTCAACATTAAATGCCATAATTGAACTAACATTATTAAAATTTTTAAACAAAATGCATACTTCATTAAGGAGGACACTTTTGAAAAAGTGAAATAAAATATTTCTACGAAAGAACTCACCAACTGAAAGGAAAATCTTATCTCCACGTGGTTCTAAAACTGACTGTGGTCTACTAACTTGATACACATACATTGCACATTTTAAAATAGAAACCCCTCACTTATTAGGCAGCCCAGAAAGTTGTCAAGTACTGACTACTAAGATTCAATGAACAGGAAAAGCTTTAAACTGCTATAAATGTGACACTGTGTATCAGAATGCAAAAAATATCTTTGTACTGACAGGCCAAATTCCACACAAGTGTTCATGCATTTGTCTGGCAGTATTTTTTGATCAACAGGATGAATATTTTATTACACTAAAAATATTCTACATCTTTGTTAGATCATGAAAAGCTGTATTTTAATTAAGTTGCAAATAATAATATAATTGACAGACAGATAATTATGCAATTTTCTCCCATAATTTTTCAAATTTCTACACCTTAAAATGATGGCAGGACTCCCATTCTCTCTTTAAGCAAACTAGATTTTTAGTTCCATTCCTAGTCTTTTAGTATTAATTAAAAACCCCCATCAATCAAAGCTTATGAACTTTTTTTTTTTTAAATTTTTAAGAAAGCCTCTAGGTTATAAGGATTAATGACTTGGTTGTAAGAAAGGATAATTTTTTCCACTCTTAAAAACGATCCAAATTTTGTATTTTATTTAAA